CACAAACCGCACTCGTAACAAGCCCGAAGTATCGAGATTCTTTATCGGCTGTTGTACTAATGTAAACTACCCTATTTGTTGGATATATGGCCAGGATATGATTGACTGCATTCTTGAGTGTTAAACAAGTCGGTAAAACAGTCATTAAAACAGCAGTTGGTTTACGTTTTTCTTGTCTTAACTTTTTAATGCAAGAATTCACTGTTTGAAGGCGTGAATTCGGTGGTAATTGTTTAGGCATTTCAATAGTGCCTAAATATCCAACAATAGCTTTATACTCTATAGGTCCACCTTCATCCTCCATTGGATTACAAACTTGTGCAGAAAAAGCACCATCTGGTACTTCTTCGAAGTCCTTCTTGCGTCGGCGATCCGATGTGTTGAGATTATTGTTGTGTGTGTTATGATTCGGATGTGATTGCGTTTTGTGCACCCTGGGTTTGTGTTTTCTCGTGGTTACTACCCGATTCATATTCAATTCTTCATCGGAACTGTCAGAGTAGTAATGTTCTGCACACGCTATGGTCATCCGGATGGGGCCCATTGCTTTACCGATGAGATTCACGACTGCATCATGTGCGATTTTCGATACGGAAATACCGTTGACGCTGATGAGACAGTCTCCGGCGCGTAGACCTGCTACGTCCGCCGGGGAGTGCGCCACAATGCAGGAAAGAATGCAGGGTTGCTGGCCGGAGATGGTGAAACCGAAGCCGTTGGGGCCGCGTGCGACTTCAACAGTGCGAAGGCCGTAGTTGGGCCGTTTCTTACGGCGGCGATTTGGATGCATGGCGAACGATGCGCTTTTGTTTACACCCGCGGCTGATAAACGAACCGCACGAGATAATGCGAATACAAAACAAAACACGCACGCGAAATAAACGAACGGAACGAAACAAAACAGACCGTGCTAACTGCGCGTCGACGTCACCAGTGATTTCAATTTTCGGTTGGTTTTATGTTCTGTCTTTGTTTTGTACATTGGTTTGTTGCGTACAACGTAGGTGACGTATGAGTAGGATTGACCCACCCGACGCACGCTTGGAATGCGGACCGTTTAAATTCAACTGTAAACTTTCAAAGTATGCAACCCGCTAAACACTAATACAGATTTTCTCGTTTCTTGTTATTTTACCATTGAAATTAATCCGTTTATTCGGTTTACAATGGGCAAATATCTTTATTATCGTAACAATAAATGTTATAATAATAAATATAATTAATAGCAATATTTGTAATCTATGTAGCTAAGCTATCATTTCTGTTCAATGGTTTAACAAGTGATTTGTTTGGTATTTTTTCGTTTCTAGAATCAATTTTCACTTTTCACATTTCTGCATTCTACAGATAAACTTGTAATTGGTCAATATTCATTTAAATTTCACTTGTTTTTTATAAATCATGTTTAGTGCTTCATGAATTTAGTTTTCCTCTTCATTCAATATTTTAAGTTTAAAACTTCGTGCATAAAAAGAACAATTTCGCGGAAATCAATTGCTTCGATTGTTTGGAGTTTTGTTTTCTTGAATTCGTACGGAGTATTGCTTCTGTGGCATTTCATAATCTCATTAAAGTGTCCTTTTTGTAATCATTTCACATGTAATACACCTAACATTTGTGATTACAAAGTTAATAGCTGAGAATAACAGCTGTTTCACTTTCTGCAAGTGCACATTATCATGTAACACATAAGTGTATCCTAAAGTTAGTTTTTAAATATATTCATAAAATTTCCTCCGCTTAATATTCTTCAAACTAATCCAAACGCAAATTAAACATAACTAAACTAAACCGAACTAAAATGAGCAAATGTATCAGGGGCCGGGCGTAAATAAACGTCACAAATCTACAGAACCTAACAACTAACACCCTGATTCCCTGATTGGCATGATTGACTCAATAAGCCAAAACAAATAAACTTAATACAACAGATACAAAAATATTTTCGCTTCATACAAAGACTTGAAATTAACTTTTCTCACCATGTGTTTGGCTAATACTAAAAATCTACAAAAGAAATTCTATAGACCTAACGATAATCGATCGTTTGAAGGAATCGATTCCACTTGAACATGGCTTACAATGTTGGATTACAATAAAAATATCTCCACATATGCGCACAATTGCATGATATAAACGTGCATGCCATTTAAATACAATTAAATACACATACAAGTTGTTTTTGTTTTCTTCACAATCATATAAATATTATGTACTTCTTGCAAAAGTACTGTTTCTTATGCAATAAGTGCTTTTTTTTCTACATTTACCAAACAGAATATACTATATCATTATATTTTATAGAATAGATATATAATAATATGCATTTTATATGTTTAATATTATATTACAATATGTATTATATATTTTTCTTTCTTTGCTTTTTTGTTTTTCATATTTGTTTATAGCAATATTTGAAATTTCGAGCTTTCAGCTCGAATAATATACTTTGAATATATTTGTTTTTCGATTTTTAAACATTCAATAAATTCTTTTAGATTTTTTGATCATTTTTCTTAAAGTTAAACAAAAACGCCATTTTGAAAAACACAACTCATCGCAACATACAGATTAAAATATATTTACTTCATAAAAATGCCGTCTTCATGCTGTTTGTTTAATTTTTAGTTTATACCAAGAGCCAAAGTTATGTTTATTGTCGATTTCTATGTTCGCCATCTTGTTTTCTGTTTGCTTTAAAGTTCTCTCTTGCTAGTAATGATTTATCTCATCAGATTCGTGTTCTAAAAAGTAAAAATTTACATTTTGGTGTATGCAATATGTAAGTATCTCGTAAGTTAATGTGAGGTATTCACGTTGTTGTTTGTTTCTGCAACGCATGTGCACTCCGCTTGCATAAATTTCTATCTTCGCCGGCTCGCTATTTATAAACTATTTTCATCATCCTTTCTCCACGATATTAATCACAGGCAATTGCGACGCGAGGTCGCGTTTAATATTATTCGTTATTTTATGTGTTTTTGTTTTTTGATTCCGTCTCCACATTGAGATAGACGCATTCCGCTTCCGTCGCATCATCTAAAAATCACCCTAACAATGCTGTGTTCGCATTCTTTTTACATTTGTTTGTTACCTACTCGGCGCCATCTTGAACGCCGCATCTAGATTGTTATAGTAACAACTGTAACATTTTGGCGTTGTTTAACATATGTACGCTGTTACAAGTTCTTTAATATATGTTTTCTCTTTGTTAGCTTCATAAATTTCTCTTGTTTGCACAATAATAAATTGTTTGTTTGTGTGTATGTTACAATATTTTGGTTTTACACTATTTAGTTTCTTTTGTTTTGCATTACATCCAGCTTCGTCTGCTTGTTGTATCGGATGCAAGTTATGTGTGGTTAATTTCACAAATCACAGATATAAATATAATATATATACTCTCTCACATTGCGCTCGACTTTGGTTTCGTGTCGAGCATCATCTCACACGGTTCACAAACATTCACACTCGATAACCACCCTTTCGATATATTACTAGATGTGCTTAATTCATTAGTTCTTTGAGATTTAAACAGCGTGGCCAAATGTTTTCGTACGTTGGACTAGGGCTGTGAAAATAACAGTTTCGTGTTGCTTTTTTTTTATGTGGTGTGTTACAATACTTGTTCAGGTACGCATCTTGGTTGTTATGTACAAATTGTTACTCCCCTATCGTGTCCATTTTGTTTTTTTGGTGTCGACGACAAATGCATGTCCTCACATTTACACATTTCTATCTCGCTCCCGGCGTCGTAAAATCTACTTAAATTATCAGAGGATTCGATAACGTTGCTCCCCTCTGTAATGTTTATTAAATTAATTAAATTTAATGCTTGGTAACATTGTTTTATTGCGTGCAGTTGATCAACTTGCAGCGGCAACGTGTTCACGTTTACTGGAATGTATCTGTAAATTGCCTTCTCAACCGATTTTAAAAATATATCTAAACCATTAGGTTTTGGTCAAATGGTTTTGCACTTTGAAGTGTGTTTAAGTGTTTTAGGAATCGACCCGCCTAGTATTTTCAATCTCACATTTCACTGTAGTTGTTTAATTAATACATTATTGGTCGTTTTTTTGCGTATTTGTTTTCGAAGTGCAATCTGTGTAATCTTAATTAATGGAATTTGATTGCATATTAACGTTATCTATCTCGTTATCTATCCTTCGTTTTGTGTTCACTCCCCGCACGGATTTATACTAGTAGTGTTTCTTTTAGTTTCGATTGTTAACTATTCGTTCGCGCCGTTTTTTAGTTTTGTTAAATGCTCCGCAACTATTATATGCTCTTATTTACAATTCGGACGCCGTTCGTTTTCGCAGTGGACGATTTTCGGCTGGCGGCGTCGTTGAAAATAGATTCTTCTCTGCAGGTACTTTGGTATATGCTTCTCGCTAGTTTCTTCCGATGACATGCAGTTTCGCTAATCGGTTGTGTGTTTGTTTTGCTGCTAGTTTTAATGTTGGCTAGACTTGCTGTGTTAACAATCGTTGCAAATACAGTATCACAGATGTTGTTGCCTTACTCGCTACGTTTTTTGTTTTGTATCTCTTGTTATCGCTTGTGTGTTAATGCGCGAATAAAATACTGGCAAAGAATGTCTTGCGTTCTAGTAAGTGTAACGTTCGACGTAAGACGAAGTTGTTTCGTTAATAAATGTATCACAATAAAAAATGAATATCGTCTGCACTTTTTTGCACGCGCCTTTAAAAGTCAAATCATAGCTCTCTTCCTGTAGTAGCTTTAACTTAAAACAACGTTGTCGCGACGCCGTCTCGAATCACAATCAGTTAAAATAATTAAAACGTAATAAAAATATATGCACGTAGAACAATGCAGAATGTTGTGTGTGTTTATAGTGGGTTGCCTGACCGCGGTGCGTAACCTAAGTGCGTAGAATTCCTATTTAAGATCCACGCCAGCAGAGTGGCATTAAGTACTCGTCCGTGTAGCAGGCCGTCGAGGAAGAATCTACGATCGACGGATGCAACGCTGAGTTAGGCAGCAGCATACAGCATCTTCCCAGAACTTGCGAAGTAATGCTGCAAAATGTTGGCAACCAACATTTTACAATCAAATTAAAAATGACAGATATAACTAAATATTACCTTGGTTATGTTGACTGTTGTAGCACCCGCAGAGGGATAAAGATCGGAATTTGCGACCTCATAGACGCCGCGCATAGTATCGGCACGTAGTTTAGCAATGCCAGCATAGTCTTCCTCGCAGAACTTGTAACCGATGACGACAAGTTGCTTCAATGCTGCACAACCATGCGCTAGTATTATGAGTTCCTGGGGTTTGTATATCATCGGCTGCTTGTCGATTAAAATACCTGAGCATCAACATTGATTATCCGCACCCAAATAAGACTCACCAGAAAGGTTCACGGTACATCGCCAATTTCGCAGAACACTCAAATTCATCTGAATAGATTTTATATTTAGTTGCAGTTATTTGTTGAATTTTAAGGTTATTAAAACTAACCTGCTCACAAAATAGCACCTTCAAATGACTCAACGGCATGTTACCCTTCAACACCTTAGTGTGCAAATGTTTCACTTCATCCGTTGAATGTATGCAAGATAATCGCAGAAGACACTCAGGATGTCGTTTTTTAAACTTTAACCAAGCATCCTCGCTAGTGCCGGGATGTTTATCCCAGATGCCATGCACATGTACAACAAGTCGCCTCAAATCGTCCACCTCCCGCAACGCATGCAAAACATCATCGCTAAGATTATCGTAATCCAAACTGAAAATCTGCAACCGCCGAAACATCACCAATTGCTTGGCGTCAAGATTCTGCATTAGATAATTGCAAGGATCTTCTTTGACTGTTGCCAGTGCCAATGTTTCGATATTGTCGGCCTTTTTCTGGTCGAGAAGGGCAAGGATATCTGGCAACGATTCAAACAGCTCTTCATTGCAGCCCAGCGTTAGGACATTCAAAGACTGTCGAGTGTAGATGTCAGCGAATACTTTAAAAAGAGAAAACTCTTCAGCGTTGTCTGTGTTTGCTGCTGTCTGCAGCCAACACTCAGGAATCTCGACGGTGCAATGTGATGGCTCGATGTTCAGCGATTTGATGTTGTTACTGCTGGCGAAGCAATTGAATAGATGCAGGAACTCGACAACACACGCGGGGTCGATCGAGTTGAAGCGCACGTTTGCGTGGGTGGCAATGTGACCAGCGCGCGTGCGGAAGTATTGAGCTTTGTCTAGTTGTTTTGGCTCTATCACAAAATTTACTTTTTGCCATTTTCTATAATCAAAATTAATTATAATAAATTTAAAAAAAAATATGGACTTTTTATTACCTTGGATGATATAAACTCTGCCTCCAGTTGCGGCATGTACTCGAAGCACGAATACTATCTTCAAAACTAAGATAGTGGAAGATGTCGTCGAGTATCACGGCTGGCAGCCGCTCCCAACAGCTGTCCGGGGCCGGCGGATTGCCGCCCACCGTGCATGGTGAAATATCGTCATCGGTTTTGCTCTTTTTGGCTCTGGGACAGTCGTTATGTTGTGAATTCTCATTTCCCATTACTGGCAAAAATTAAACAAACAATTGACAAACGCGTAGAAAAACACAACGCGTTGTTTTAAGAAACATGCGCCTCACACAATCAATAACGGATAAACAAATGAAAGTCACGCGTAAAATATGGTGCGCCTGATAATTTCGGTTGGAATTGCTGCATGTGCAATGGAAATGTCCAAAAATATAAGGATTGTTCGCCATATGGAGACACTCACTCGAAGCGTCATCGCAATTCAAAGGTGAATTGGCACATACACCAGCCGATATTACGTGTTGCGCGTTTGTTTTGCACGAAAAACACCAATCGGAATATTGTCCGCGCCTGTGAGCAATGCGAGAGTGAAAGTGATTTCTTTTCTATATTTTTTTTACATCGTATTCAACATGCAACGCTCGTGCATGTTTGTACTGCGTACTGTATTACCACACATATGCGCATGTAAACACGCTGACATTATAAATTTAAATTGCGCTACGCTTATCGGTCAACGGATTGTAACAAAAGACATTCGATATCAACTTAAACCGCAAGCAACAACAAAAGAACCGCATTGATATCGCATGTTTTTTGTATTAGTAATATGTTTGCGAATAAATTGAGCTGTTAAAGACTTGTTACCTGAATACATTTGCAACGATTCTTGTCGTTTGCCGATGCGCACAATGTCAACTGCATTTATCGCTATCCCTTGATCGCGATTTTCAACACTACGCACCGCACGGTCGAAGAAACAAAAAAGAAGTAGCTGTGGTCGCGTTGGTTTTGAGTACAAATTTGCGACTGGAATCGTCGCGCAAAGTGTCTTGTCGTGTAATACCTGTACGTTTTTTGCGTACAAGCTGGCAAGTGCGACTTGAGGAATGAACAGCAGGATGGGGACTAGGGCACTGCCGTCAGCGCTGACCACAGCCAGCAGGCGCAGAACGACCGAACAGATGACTGCGAATAGACTGCGACACAACGGGCGTGCGCGTGCGTACAGAAACTTGGAAATATACGCACGCGCAAAAAAACTACAAAACCAAGTGTCACAAATGTTTATACAAGTTATGCAGAAGTTTATTTTATTCTTTTGTGGTTATACAAGTAATTATTTAGATATTTGAGTTAATTTTAATTATATAAATCAAATAAACATTTAAAATGTTAATAAAGGTACCTTATTTATAATTTTGCTTCATATTTTATGTAAACATAAGTTTATTAAAAGTCAAAATGGCTGACTTTAAGTTAACTTAAGTCTATCGTCATTATTCTGTGTTTACTAGTTTACAAACACAGGATTATTGATGCGTACAGGTTGTATCTTGGCTACATAAACATTAATAATGATTTATGAGTTTATTACTTGCAAGAACAAAAAGTAGCAATGTTTTATATCCAGATTGAAACACCTTAAAAACGCCTCAAATCTAATATTTTCTAACAATTTATTAGATCACTCGGTGAAAGCACTCAGTCCAACAGAGATAATAACAAGCATGTTATCAACAAGATAGTTAATTAAGTCTCTACGACATTCGATGCGGGCAAAGGACAGTACTTGATCGTGCACAATACTCATCAGAGAAAATCACGAAAACGTAAGTAACTTATCGCTAAGCAAAATATTTAAATCCACGCTTCTTGAACAAGCACTTTTAAAAGATAATATTGGATTTACATCTTATTAATCTATTAAAAGTAAAATTAAGTAAAATTATGACTAAAATGCGCTTTAACTGAGATTTTCATGAGTGTTTATTTGTGTCTATACAAAATAGATTCCACTAATCGCAATCCTCACCACACTTATAACAACAAATAATAACATTATTGTGAAGTCATACACTTGTTTTATCAATTCGTTCAATGGTCAGCATCACAACAACAATATAATACATCAACGCGTTTTTTTTTGTTCCAGGTTCAGTACATTTCAAGTGTCATACAAATGCAGAGATTACTCAGTACATGAAAATACACACACTATTATTGTTGATTATTTAGTTATCGTTACACACGGTTGACGGTGGCACGTTCACTGATGATCAGAGAGCGCTTTGTAAGAGAGATCAGCGTTCATTATGTTCCGTAATTTGGTGCCTCACCACAAGCTGGATGCTTGTCAGAGGCACTTTCGATGGACATCTGCGATGGTAAAGAGTCGACACCAGTATGATGACCATCATGAAAGATGGCAGCGAAAAAACGCTCTGATGTTAAAGGCAGCGAATACTTGATTAACAAAGTAAATTTAAATATATTTTTACTTTGTTGATTTTTTAAATATAATTTTAATTGTAGATTCAGAGTTGGTTGTTGGACGATGTTCTCTTTGAAAACTATGCGGTTGACGATAGCATAGTCAAAGTTATTCAGAATATATTGTAGGGCCAAATGTGACCGCAGCTCATTCGATGTTGATTAACAAACCACCGAAGTAGCACTGAGGGTTTCCGCCAGACATCCGATGCATCAAGATTTACACTACTTCCGTTTCACGCCCGGCGGATCGTATTGCTACTTCCTGGACTGCCATGGAGCGCATTGATGAAGAGAATGGATGTTTGTTTGCCATTACTTTGGATTTCACAAGGCCGGAAAACTTTATCAACTTTATGATTATCCTGGAAATTGAATAGTCTCAGTCTTGTTATATTCACATAATAATAGAAGTTATTGTATTGTCTTAGGATGCTGGAAAACAAAGCATATCATGGAGTTAAGGATTCGATCATATTCCACGCGTGAATTTGAGGATTATGGAAAGGGCGACACTGTATTTTCCATCCCATGTTACATGGTTTCGGTCCCAACAAAACTAAAGTATATTTCGTTTATATCTTAATATTATCTTGATTTTATTTGTTATCAGCGAATTTGGTTTTAGGGATTCAGAAGGCAATTTCTGTACATTACGCCGATACGAATTGCCATTTATTGGAGAAATGTCAATTTACTTCACGGGAGAACATCGCCGTTGAAGTTATGGAACTTGGACAGGAAGAATTTGGAGATAAAGCGTCGTTCCAAGACATTTGGAAGGCAAATCGCGTTTGATTTGCGGTCGGCAGGTGCTTTCCAAACGACTTCGACAGTCATTTGTAATCAAAGAAACTGTTGTTATGCCATAGCATGTTAAAATGTGGTTTTGTATATTTTATTCTTTTGTTATCACATTTGTATATTATATAGCTTGATAAAATTGTTTCTTGGATTGTAATTATAAATCCTATAGTATAAATCCAGCGTACAATACTATTTCTATTCTTTAATAAGATATAAGTTATTTTCTCATGTTTTTCATCGTATTCATTTTGTTTTAGTGTAAAAGAAATGCTTGTGATTTCCTGTTTGTTACTTAACATATCACGGTTGAATTACATTACGCATTCCGTAAAGTTGTTTTTTGTAAAGTGGCGCAAGCAGCGCCCTCACAAAATGGATGCCACATGAAAATACTAAAGCTAACACCGCACCTTGATGACACAAAATTGATAAAACTACCATATTTACATAGTTATCAGCTCAATGAACGCCGGTTTATCTTTATCATGTAAAATGCAATAAAATGATTGCATGTCAAGTAGAACTCACTTGAAATTAAATCACAAAATTTCTGTTATTCACAGGTTAGGCCGTGTGTGACTGCAGCTTTATATAATTTATTATGCTCCGCTTTAAATATTGCTGCTGTTTGTTTCTGGAAATGTTGTGGCCTGCTGCTGGCAAAAGCAAGCTAACAGTGTTCGGGGCGTATTAATTAACCTTTGATGAGTGGAATCACGGCCAGCAGTGCGCAATGACTTGAAGCGTGCGCGTCTCGCCGTTTTATCACGGTCTTAAATCCTAATTGGCGACGCGTCGCCCGACGCGCAATAACAAACCCAACGAGCACGACGCGTCAGGTCCGATAACAGCCTGTGTGCCAGTTCGCCCCATGTAAACAGGACTCTACCCTCATCATCATCCTGTGGTAGTTAAGAAAACAAACAGTCGTCGGCATGGCGGACGGCGATCACGCCAACAGCAGCGAAGACTCAGACACCGATTGCGCCCCACACGAGCTGCAGGGCGTGCTGCACAAGTGGACGAACTACATTCACGGCTGGCAGGATCGCTGGATAGTCCTTACAGCCGGTACGCTCAGCTACTATAAAAGTGAGCAAGAGTCAAATTACGGGTGTCGAGGGGCGCTCACCCTCGCCAAGGCTACAATCAAAGTAAGTCTACTCATACTTTATTCAACTGTCAAAAATATAAACATTATTTTTTTGCAGCCACATGAGTTTGATGAGTGCAGATTTGATGTTTCTGTGAATGATTGTGTCTGGTACTTGCGAGCAGACACTGTTGAAGATAAGCAACACTGGGTGGAAGCACTTGAGTCATATAAAGTGAGTATTTTTAGATTTAACACCTTTTCTGAGTAATAATAATTCTTAGAAGTTTAGTGTCTCATTAAAATCATGTGATTAGAATGCTGTATTTGTGTATGTTAGAAAGCAAAAGTATTCAATTTTAATGAATGCATAGTCAGATATGTCTGTTGTCCTAGTTTTTATTGCCCAAGGCCAAACATCAGATCACAGCCAAAATAATGTTCAAACTGTAATGAGCTCCGCACACGCCACTGGCGGTAATTCAGCTGATTCACGACCTTGAGCGCACGTAACGTCTGCTTTTTTTATGGGAAAAACAAAACAATAATTGGAATAAGTTAAAAATAATCACTTTTATACGGATAGGCAACCAACATTACAAACTCAGCACTTTTAAAATGAACGTTTTATTTTAAAACTCACCTAGGCTGAAAGTGGATATGGTACCGGTTCGGAAAACTCTCTACGCCGTCATGGTTCGTCAGTGAGTCTGCAGTCGAATACGTTCAGCACAGCTTCCTCGTCGAGTTTCAAACGCACCGGCAGGAATCTACACGAGAAGTTGGCTGAATTACAAACATTCAAAGACATCCTCGGCGGGCAAATCGACACTCTGCAAAGGTACTTCGATATTTGCGCAGATGCGGATGTTATTACAAAATGCAAAGATGACACTAACGGTGGAAATGATATTTCAACCATTAACAAAGGTATAAATAACAAAAACAAGTCGAAAAATACTTAGTTTAAATAACTACCTATTTTTAAAATTTAAATTATTTGTTAGATCTGCCAGCAATCGACTTCAAAGGCGAAGCAATCACCTTCCGCACAACAACCGCCGCCGTGCTTGATACGGTCGCGCACTGCGTGGATCTGGTCTCGCAACGCGAAGACTCCTGGCACAAGCGGCTCGATCGCGAGCTCGATCGTCGCCGACGCGTCGAGAACCTGGCCAAGAGTTATCTGGAGCAACTGCAAAAAGTGCACAACGTTCACCCTGGACCTGACCTTGAAGTGAGTCAAATGAACACTATAAACATCCCGATAAAAATAAATGGTGCTAAAATTATTATACAGTTATATTTGCTTTTTGCGCCGACGTCATATGACGATAAATCAATAGAATTATTCATGCGACAAGGGAAAGGGCAACAAGTGGCGGCAACAATCGCGGTACGATGACATGCGAACGTAATCTCTGTGGCGTCTTGTGACATCTCGTAAGCAGTTGTCACCACGTTTTACTATTTAGGTTTTACTCGCACTTCTACACCAGTTATATTGTTCTGTCGCGCGCGCATCCACGCGATTTATTTCTCAAGTTTCCAAAGGGTTGATCGGTGATGTCGAAGACAGCGGGCAGTGGCGACGCGCTGGACTTTCATCGGTTGATCGCGCGTTTCAAGTGTAGCGTCGCACACGTTGCACAATCGCACAAATTTAAATCGTTTAAAAACGTGAGTATTTTTTCCAAGCAACACACTTGTACAATTACGAACGTTAATTTTTTGAGCGCGTGCGTAAACTGATATGGAAATATTTTAGTTAAATGTTAAACTGTATCCCACT